ATTTTCCTTTCCTTCTATTTTTCTTCAACGTAAGATGAATATTAGTTCATGATTAAGCAAGCTTGGAAAAGGAAAGTTGATCGATTGAAAACAAATTTTTAATATAGTTCACATTCAAAATAAAAGTCTAGCCAACAAGCTACAATTACATTTAGCGATCTGAATTTAGTGCGAATTGAGAAAATTCTTTATACATACGCAACTTGTACACATTGCATCAAATGAAAAACTAGAAAAAAATTCATTGATTGTATCGACTCAAGCTTCTGCGAACATTTGTAAAAGAGCTTTACAAGAAGTCTAAATAAGGTAATGCAACGTATATCATCCATCAGTCTCCGGCAGCGAAAAGCCCAGAAGTCAAAAGAATAATTCACACACAACACTCACCACAGGCGCGCGCGCGCACACACACACGAGCGAACAAAAATCACAAGAACGTAAATCAATCGATTGTACGATAAATCAAATAGCACGTGCGTGCGACTTTATCAACAACAAAAAATTGATACATAGAGAAAAGAAACTTAGCGCGCACGGCGATTACTGCCCTAGCTATATATGTCCTGGGGAGTATGCGTGTCTGAAAATGGTGTTTTCGCATACAGCAGCGCAGCAACAGCGGAGAAAAGCGATTCCTCGAAACGAACAGACGCTAGGTTGCAAAAAAAAAAAAATAAATAAACAAACAAACAAACACAGAACTGATTGACGGAACGAAAAACGAGGACTGGATCCGGTTAAGTTAATCGAATGCTAATCAAGTGTATAGAGTGTGGTGTGGTCTGTGTGTGTGTGTGTGTGTGTGTGCGCGCGCGCGTGTGTGTAAATTGCCAAGTTGCCGGTATGCGACGACTCGCGTGCGACGATTAGCGATCGTTTGTAAGCTGCGCAAAGTGTCGCGGTATCTTCATTATCACCGATCATCGACAATTGCAACGGTCTTTTTTTTGGTGTTGTCGCGGAGATGATAATGAATTTTTTATTGGTTATGGCTCGGGTGGTTGGCTTTTTGCGACGCCCGACGGTGATTGTTAGGAGGGACACAGATCGCTTGCATCAGTTCTTCACGCCAATGCATATGGATGCTGGATGATACATGTGCCGAGGTAAAAAAGTACTTTTTTTCTTGAAATATCAATGACGTTTTAATTCATGAACTTGTAGCGCGAATAGTGGCGCAGAGAAAAGATTAATTACGATTTTATTCTAAACAATTTTTTCTTTGCTTGTAATTCACTGCAAAATTAAAGTTCTATATTTGCTAAAGCTTGATCAACCTCTTTAAGATGATCAAGAAAACTCGTAACTTTCGGCGCCAGAGAAATTCTTAAGACCCTTATGTCATTTACGTTATTTTAAATTCTAAAATTTCTCTTTTCTTCGTATAAGATGACTTTATTAGTATAATGAATTGAAAACGCGCATCCCGTAATAAATAGATCGATCGTTTTTCGTCTTCTTACTAAGTGGTTTTTACGTCTACGACGTTTTCTGATTTTCATCGAATTGCCATCGAAGCGTAATTGGAAAAAGAAAAATCAATCATAATCGTACAAGAGACACTGCAAAGTCTGGGTCAGAAACTTGTGCAAGCACTACACGGCCTCGCCTACATCATAACCACACGCCTCGATACGAATCTGCATGTTACTTACTTGCCAGGAGGAAGCGACATCCATCATCCTTATATTTTAAGCAAGAGGCTCTCGCTCACGCTCCGCACACGCGCGAGAGCTTATCGAGAGCTTAAGATCTGCGCTAATAACCCTCTCTCGTGTCGTGATGCAATTCGGAGGTGGCGAGTTTGTTGTTGAGCTAAGCGTATAGCACCAGGCCTCATGATTGAGAACTTGCAAAGCTATTTATATAGGAACATTTTCGTGGACCGAATCGGAGGTAACAAGTTTTTCCAAATTTATATTCAATCGTTGATCGTAATAATTCAAATTTTTGCTGAGCTTCAGTAACACGACTGTTTATATTTTTTTAGGTCAAATTTTTCTCATTATATATTATAGTTATACGTAGTGAAGAGATCACTTTACAGTTGTGTCTTTATTAAAATTATTCAAAGTTTTAATATGTAATATTTTTTAATATAAAAATAATTTACTTTTTGAATAACGAGTTTTCTAACAATTTTTCATTTTTCATAATTTGTCTAATAATTTAATACAATGCTTATAGAAATTCAGCGTCTAACTTTTGTCAACTTATTATTTATAGCTGTCCTTGTTGAGAAATTATCAGTTTGAAGTCATAAAAAATTAATCTACGTGAACATACTACATTCTAAAACGTGCCATTACAGAAACCGTTGCATGCCTTCGCACCCGATGCATGACTAGCATGCACGGATGCACCACTAGCATTTTAATATTTGCAAATCGAAATCGATATTGTGCAACAGATTTGCATATTAATAAAAAGTCATCAATTCAAAGTTGTTGAAAAGCAATTTATCGAAAAATATTAAGTTGTAGAAATATCAACAGCAAAGCATATGAAAAATCGTCTCATAATCACTGTCTGTCGGCTTGACAAATACAAGCCGACAACGAGCGAACACTGCGCATCAACATCAAGCAGCACAGCCAAAACTCGCGTGCGCGCGACAAAGGGCAACGGCGTACAGTATAGAGATTGAAGGCACGAGAAAACGAAAAGACAATGTCGCGCATTCGTTTGCCTGCGCACGCGCGCGCGCGCCAAAAAGTAAGGATCGCGAGAATCCCGTCTGTATCCCTTTGCTCGCGGTGTGTTGCGCGCGTCTCGTTGTTGTCGCGCGGCGGTTAAATTAGTCGGCGCGCGCACACCGCACTAGAAAATCGCGCGATCCATTCTACAGTCACTCTCTCTCTCACTCTCTCTCTCTCTCTCTCTCTCTCTCTCTCTCTCTCTCGCTCTCTCGCCTGCGGAGCTTTTCTTTCTCGCGCGCGCTCGTCCCGAAATAATTAACAAAACAAAATCCCCGACTGTGCACGACAATGTGAATTATTCGAGCCAAGAGGGAGACGTCTACCACTCGACTGCTGTACACTCACTCTGATACTTATACCGCTTCTGCGGAATGATTGATTTGGAGCTCCGGGGAAGGGATTGTCTTTGCTTTTTTTTTCTTCGCTTTATTGCTATGCCATTACGCGTCGCGGGGTTATATAGCATTTGCTAAGAATTGCCGGGTAGATGGGCGGATTTACATTGTGCGCTGAATTATTGTGGCGCACGCGAATTAAATTGGGATAAATGGCATGAGATTGCGGATGCTCGACTGAAGTTGTTAAGACGTTTTGTGCTTTAATACTCAGAATAGTTCTCTGAACGAATACATTTGGTTAAGCCATTTTCGCATTTTTTATACCATTTCAATCGAAGTGTCATTCATGCTTTATATTACTTTCGACATCGGTAAGAATCATGAATGAAAAAATAATACAATTAAGTTACTTGAAAAATCAACTTTGGTTATTATATTATCATAAATGATGCGACAATCTGAAATGTAGAACAACGTTCCTACCAAGATAATTCATTTATCTCTGTGAATCAAATTGGCACGAGTATTGGATTTTCTTTAAAGTAACAATTATGAAAACGAAATACTTAGATCAATCGTCATTCATTGCTGGAAAGTCGAAAAATAGAATAGCAAAGTTTTACAAAAAAATAGAAACGAACACGTTACACATTTTAGTTTATTGAATAGTACACCTTTTTTTAATTAGAAAAGTTGTTTTTTACTCAACAAAATTGAGTTATTTTAATTTTAAGACGAGATTACATTTGAATCTCAGTACGAAAGGTACGATGTGATAATTACAATGTTCATTAATTCTCATCGTATACTTTCAAGTGTAAGTTACATATTACATTAGAATGTGTTATGTCTATTTATCTCTAGAGTACTTTAATAATATTTGTTGTATAAAATTGTTAGTTGATAATTTAAATAAACTAGCTTTTTCAATAATATTATAGACATGTCAAGTGACACATTTTTCTTATTGCATCTAGAGTCTAAAGAACGAAATTTTACGTTAACTTTATTATCATTCCGAATCTTTCAAAGTAATTTAGAATTATTAATTATTTAAAAGTCGGGCAAATTGTTTTCAAGTTATATTTAATGAAAAAAAAGAAAAATAATAATGATTTCATAAGACAAGGACACTACTCGAATAATAATTAAGATTTAAAAAAGTATAACACGAAAAATGATATTTTAAAAAATTGAGAAGAACTTGCCTAACTATTTTACACAAATTATATCAGTTTTATGTATTTACCTAAAGTTGGCTGTTGTACATATGTACCATGACAGAAAATAGACAAATATTGTAAAATAAGCGAGATGTTACAAAATGAAAATCCACAGATAAATACGACTATGAACACCACGCGTATTTGTTATCACGAATTTGATGATACACGCTGCACAGTCGCCGCACGATTTATTTATCTTTTTAGCTGTTATTAAAAATATTTTTTATCGCTATTCGTGCTCATTTGACTTTTGGTTTTAAAACTTTTCGTGATTTCAATTTTGTCATTGCTATCTTCTATGCAACTGTTTAAACCTTTTTGAACAATATGAATACTTTTTGTTTCTAGAATATTCGCCATTCTTTTATAATTTTCTATCATAACATAATCGAGTTAATTATTATTTTCAAATATAATCTTCTACTATCGTTTCTAAATATATGATTTTCATTATAGGATGAAATATAATGTAAATCGAGTAATATTGGATCCTTCTATCTTTTTTCTTTAAAAATGCTTTAACTCTACTGATTCTGTTTTTCTTCCAACCCCTTGATTAACAACCGTTATCGTGTGATATCAATATATATATATATATATATATATATATATATATATATATATATATATATATATATGTGTATATACATACATACATATGAAAATGAGTCTTCAAATTCAGGAGAATTCCAATTTTATAGTTCACTTATCTTTAAACATAAAGTTATTTTACTTGGAACTTTTTCCTCAAAGCCGACAAGTATAAAATATCCGGGCTTTTAGTAAAAAAAATAGTTTTACACGAAGCTTTGAATAGTAAAGTACTTGCTGTGCAATATATAAAAATGAGTCAAATCCTTATTCGACTTCTACTCTTGGTGGCTCTCATCATTTGTTTGGTCGGAACTGCCTTTGGTAAGTTTTTAAGTTGTTCTCTCAATATTGCTGCCTTGCCTATTTAACTTGAAAATTATTGTATCGGTGATAAAATAAGAGTATTATTTTGTTTTTCAATAATTATTATCGGTACACTTTCTAAAATGTTTTTGCAGTCTTATAATATTAGGTAAATAAATTGATACTTTTCTTAAAACTAAGTTAAAAAAACTGTTTAAAATGCGTTTTTCTTCTCTACATAGGACGACCAGGCTGCACTGACGGTTGCGACAGTTGCGATAATTGCTCTAAAGGTACTGCAGAACCCGAGCCTGCAACTGGTAAACTCGCCTAATCTTTCATCATGCTGATTTGCTATTTCCGATTCATTTGATCTTGTTATTGAAATTACGTAATTATTGTAATCAGCATGGGATTGTTAATAAACTAAAATACATCGAGGCTCAGATGTAATTTACATGTTACCTTAAATCACTGCTAATTAATTTGAGCAATGAATTAGTAATAATGATATTCTCCATCGCCACCCGCACACTGCTAAAACAAACACACCTGCCGCATCGAAAGAAAAAGAAAGTAAAGGGCAAGCATGCGCACGAGAATGCAAAATAAAACAGAGGTAGAGAGATTCCCTCGAGCAGCGGACTTACAAGATAACTCACTTTATCCGCGCGCGGCGCATGCACACCGTATAAATTAGCCCGGCGAATAATAGTGTCCGCGAGCGATGCGCGCGAAAAGGGTGCTCCCTGTATACATCGCTCTAATCGTATGTGTTTTGTCTCGCGAGTTGCCGGGCCGCCTGTTATGATTGAGATAATGCCGGGCTGTCGAGTTGGCTAAGTGAGTTTCCAGGGTTGTTTTCGCAGACTGCCGTCGTGTTTGATTTGATTTTGAAGATTAGGGCTCCGCTCGGTGGATCAGACAGCGAGTTCGATCAACTTTTCAACGACAAACACTCGCACTATTCGCCCACGCTTAGGCTGAAAAACATCAATGAGCATGGTGATATTGCGCTTCTTCGCGTATTATTACGACTTACGGTTATGACAAATTCAAAATTTAGTTATAAGAACGAGGGTTTCATCTCCCAATAATTAATCATTATCAAGTTCTTAGATTTCAGATATCAGCTCCTCGAAGAAGCATTACTATAGCCAGATCAGCATTAAAATTGCAAAAATCCACATTTATCGATGTGCCGAAGCGCGGAATGAAAATTCGTTGGAAATAATTTCCATTCGCAATCTCGCGACGTAGTATTATCATTAAAAGAATGTTACAATATTAGCGATGAAACGAGCTTTCCGAGTCGTTTGATATACTCACACCGCCATTGACATGGTCGTCGTAGCAACGAGTTTGTCCGCCAGCCAGAGTAGTAGTAGAGCCTCGGGATCGATTTGCGCACTCGACTCGAGTCGACATCTAAAATAGATTCTCGTCTCTTTGGATTCTTACTCGTGGCTCAGCTCTTAGGAGAAAAGCGATGTGGGATCCTTTAAGTCGTTCGGAGCACTTATCTAAAGTGGGCGTCCAACAAGGTAGATCGCCAATACTGATATGGTTATAGTGGGATGCTTGACCGAGATCTGCACCTGTCTCTACTTCCAAGTTTTATAGACCCAGCCATTCGTGCGCTCCTATAGTTTTGACAGTTTCATTATTATCACAACTTTGTCTAGAATTTCGCCTCTACATATTTGTATATTTTAAAGGTTAAAAATAAAGTGGAATTCACATGCAGTAAAATCGTAGGTGAATTTTCTTGCTGAAAGTATATGAGTGACTTTGTTCAATGCGATATATTATCATTATTGCATGAATTCATTGTGATAAATAAATGTAATTTAAAAGTACATTAGTGACCTAACTACTTCCTAATTATACCTCAGAAGATTTGTCTTTTGAATACAGATCATTACGAAAAAAAGAAAGTGCCAATCGCAATAAAACGGTGCGACGCGCAAATGGAGCATCACTGCAGGTAGAGTCGGATTAGAAATACAAAATACATTTGTGATCTTTCGCGGCAGGCATAAGAAAGTGTAAACCGACAGAGTTTATGTGACAGTCAGTGTCATTAGTATAACGACGAATCTATTTTTCAGCTTTCTCGCCGATTCGCAACTCCCTTGCGAAGTAATTCGCATTCATAAAGACACTTTTCCACGCGGGCAGCTGTTGGCTATTGTTATCGTCAGCCAGCGCGAAACGATAGATAATAAAGATAAAAATCCCCATAAATATACAAAAACAGGAGAGAGAGAGGGAGAGAGAGAGGGAGAGAGAGAGAGAGAGAGAGAGAGAGAGAGAGAGAGAGAGAGAGAGAGAGAGAGAGAAGGAAAGAGTGTGACACAAGGCAAAGTCGGGCGGACAGTCAACAGACTAAACAATGATCTCTCTTTCTTACTTTCACTCCGACGCCCGTGTAACCCACGCCACCGCGCTTTTCCGCAACCCTGATATTTGCAATTTATATTCGATCTACGTACACTTATCGCTGTGATTTATTAGCCGCGCGCTTTTCAATAATTCAAACATCGCGCTCTTGTAATTGAGTTTACGTCTTAGAAAGAAACACAAAAAAAGTGCACAACGTGCGCGCGCTATCCGTGGGTTACGTTCGCGCAGTTTTTCGATAAACCTCTTGCTGGCTATTTTTTTTCCTTTCCTCGTTTGTCATAAAACTTTGAGGAATTTGTACGCCTGTCACGGGCAAGAGAGAGAGAGAGAGAGAGAGAGAGAGAGAGAGTGTGTGTGTCTGTGCGCGCGCGTGCGCGTTTTTTTTTCATATTATCGGCTATAAATTGTGGGAAATATATCGAGAAAATTTAAATACGAGATTCATTTTCAAGTGAGTTTTCCTCGGCTCACGTTTCACTTGCTCAATATTATATACGCGTTTACGTTAACTTGCTGGAATTCAACTTGCTAATTTGCTTGCACAATTACTCAAGAAAAATGTCGCTGATAACTTTTTTTTCGTCTCTCTCTCTCTCTCTCTCTCTCTCTGATGTATCTGAAAAACATACATTGAGCGTGTTATTTTTAACGTTATTCCATTTTCATGTATAGTTGAACGAGTTTTGTAAATGATTATTGTTTGAAAATAGCTCACAAGCCTCGAACAAATCTTACGAAATAATCCAGCCAGATTGGGCTTATCCAAAACAGTATTTTCCATTATCCCCTTTTCACGCTGCATCGCAACGCACTTCTCTGCAGCCTAACAATACTCTCGAGTGAAAAAAGGAAGATCAGAGAGAAGAGCAATAGCAGCAGCGAAGGCAGTCGCGTGACATAACTCGTGCTGCGTAGCGCCGCAAGTGCAAAGGCAATTTCGCGTTCTCCGCGCTCCATTAGTCCATTCGGCGGACAATGCAATCGCGGGAGTAGCGCTTATTATGACTACACGCTTAATTAATGCCAGGGGATTATGTGCCGAGAGCAAGAGAGAGCAGGCGACGAACAATTATAATCGTCGCGGCTCGTAAGCGTTTCGTAAAGAGATATTCCTTTGTGAGGCGTCGAGGGCGGCTTCAACTAGGATTTTTGACCTTTTCGTTTTTTGTTTTCTAGTGTTTTGATGCGAAAATGCGCGACTATGAATCGCGTTTATTAGACCTTCCCTTTGACGATATTTATTGAGATTGAAGATGACATTTGCGTTATTGCTTACAGCTATTATTTTCAATGATAACTCAATATACACTTCAAGGTGATTGATTTTTGTCATTATTTCATTATTCACAATAAGATTCAAATCTATATCAGTCAAGATACCATGTTATTGTATGAGTGAACAATGTTGTCGGCAGAGGGATTCTCGTATAAATTAGCTTGTATCTAGAATTTTATTTCGTTGAGCATGCATTGGTATGATACATCAAGACATGTGTTGAGAATTAAGTAGTATGCATCGGTATACTCAGATATCTTATAGATAGATACCTGTATTCATATTTAGAAGCAATTGGTAACGCAATTAACTATTTATTTAAAATTTTAAGATAATAAATTTCGAGGAACATTATTTTTGTATTCGAAGATCACGGCGACAATGGGAATATCTTGATGATTGTTTAAATCTGTGAAGTTGAAATACCTTTCCATTCAAAGACCTGCAGGTATAAAGTGCCAGCGGTAGAGGGTTTCTGGTACATATCTACATGCAAAGAAGATGATGTCCTTATGAACATATTTTAACTTATAACATACAATGTTAAATATTCTGAAAATCTTTGATTGATGAAGCAAATTATGTGGAAATGTCGAACAAATCTATCGACAATCAAGATTCAATAATATATTATAAATCTTTTTCGGATTCCACCTCAAGTCCATCAAAAACTCGGAAGATTAATTCAACTTGACATGTAAAGTCGTAATATTCGCGCGCTCCGTGAAATGGAGAAAAAAAAACAAGGCAAATAGAGACAGTCGACAGTTGTCGGTCGATATAATTTTCTGGGGTGATGCGCGCGATCGATTCGGCCAATTTGCGCGTGTCGTCCCGCGCGCTCGAGCTCTCAGAGCTGAGATCTCTAAATTGCGGTGCAGCCGAGACGTGAGCGTCAATGCGGGCGACGCAGCCGAAGCGTGCATAATGCGGCCAAGCGGCTAAATTTACGGCTTTGCCAGCAACACGCGTGGGTGAAGCTGAAAAAGATAGCTGTGCGACGCGACGTGCGTCGTTCATTCACGTGCCGCGGCTCTCAACGCTTTTCAAGCTCGCTCTCGCACTCTCGGAGCTTTTCGCTGATAGTTTTGTTGGGATCTGCGATGCGACTTCTCTGGTCGACGTTCTTTTCTAGGCATGAGTCTATCGTTCGTTCTATCGAGCCTATCGAGGCGTTCTAAAAGAATGAAATCCTTGAAAATTCGAAAATTCGATCGCATGGTTCGCAAATAACGGTGAATCAGTGCTAACCGTAGAGCGAGCTTGAAGGAAGCTGCACACCGAGTGTTGCCACTTGACTGGCAATTTGTTATACGGGCCAGCCGTAAGATATGAGTAATGAGTCCGCGGAAACGGAATCTTTCACTCCCACGCTTGCCTGCGTATAAGCTTGCGCGAGATTTTCCAGAGCACATTGCACGCGCGCTCGGCTATATAACTCACTTATGAAACGCGATAGTCTTTTGCATTTGAGGAATGCGCACTTGTGCCCTATGAAATTTTCGAAATGAATATGTGCTCTCTGCGGTGGGTTAATTATGAGGACGACATGTTACCGGAGAGGTTGGTGCTTCACTGTGTTTTATTGAAGCTACGGATTTTGTTATAGTCATTTTAATTAAATGCAAGTTGACTTGTCTTTTAACATTTCATTAGCTTTAGTTTTTAATGAGGTAAAAGTTAGATAGTAAGGTTTATTAGTAATAAAGTTGAGATTATAATTGGTAAGTGCACCTTAAAGAAAATATGGCACGTATGA